AAAAATAAATAATAAAATAAAATAAAATAAAATCAATAAAACATTCCCTGTTTTTATAGCCATTTCTTGCGTTTTAGCGGCTAGATTCAATAATTTGTTATATAGATTCTTTTAAAGAATATATGTTATGAGAGAGAGTGGGAGAGAAAGAATATATATATATGTACATGCTCCAAGTTTCTCTAGTCATACTCTAGTCCTTCAATGAATAGCGTCTCTCACATAGCAGCTATAGTATTACACGATTTGCCAAGTACCTATCTTAACTTTTTATTGAACGAGGGAGCCCATTAAAATTTCAATAAACTCTTTGCCTTCGTGATTAAATATCAATATGAAATGATACGAAATACATTTTTGCATAATCATAATAATCTTATTATTGATATATCTAAATACTTTTCGAGTACTAAAACTAAACTCTAATATATTGTAATTTGCAGGGTTCCTCGCCTACTCTGACGCTGGTCACCTCAAAAGTAAGTAGCGCCCACCTGAGTGCTCCATAGTTGATTGGCGCTTGCACTTCTGCATGGCTTTACCTTAGCTCGACAATGCATGACTTATATACTTAGTAATTCGTTTAGTTAGTGATGCATCGGGTTGAGTCATTGCTGATGAATCAAAGGCGGCAGTGGAGAACAATCGATGTGGCAGACATTACTTTGATCTACAGGATTTTGGTAGGCTGGACTCGGCTTGTGTGACTCAGCGCAGAGTCACGTGAAGGAAATGACTGCAGCCGAGGCATGCAGCGTGGCAGTCAAGTTCAAAAGAACTTGCAGCGCTAAATGTGGCACCAACTGCGACTGCGCAAACACATATTTTTGCCATTTCAGTGCTCATTTCTTAAGCTGGCTGCACTCGTAAAAATTAAACTTTATATGTTAAATTGGATGCACTGTCACCAGCGCTGCTTGTAATGGGTCTGAGCGGCATAAGGTATATTTTTAAGGCAACCGACAGATTACCTGGCAGCAGATTACAATATCAGTGGATAATCGCAAAGCTGCCGTCGTTAGACCCTGAGAAATGGCCGCACACTCAGCGAAATTCTGCAGAAGAAGTTGAGGAGGGAGCCAGCAGCAGCAGCAGCAGCAGCAGCAGAAGAGAAGCTTCAGCATGCGACCTTGAAAATGCAAACTATGCCGCGAGGGCGCTACACACACACACACACACACGCACACTCGACAAATACCACACACAAGCAAGACACAGCAGAAGGCTTGAGAACGGGAGCTTCTCTCGCAGTCAGCCAAAGGGAAAACGAAATGATGTGTGTTTGTGTGTGTGTGGTGTGCGTGCGTGTTTGTTTGTCCTATGCAAGCTGTAGTGCCAGAAAACGAGTTTCGCTGCCAGCGCACAAGCTGCATCTGTATCCCGTATCTAACAGATACGCAGATACTTCGCATGCAAACCCGAAAGACCGCAACGCAAAAGTCGGTCTTTGTGCCAATAGAACTTAGAATGCGGTAGGACGCCAAAGTCAACTTGATTTGGTTGCTGTTGTTGTTTGTTTGTGTGTGTGTGTGACTTATTGTTGTTGTTGCGGCTGTCTTTGGATCGCTGTTATTATGACGCGCCACAGGAAACAGCAACACTGCCCCCAGCTCTGGGCTTTGATCTTCAATCTGTCTTGCGTCTAAACAAATTTTGCATGCAACTGTGTGTATGTATGTATGTGTGTGTGTGTGTGTGTGTGTGTTTGTGTAGCTATGTATGTCAGTCGCAAAATCTGGGTTGCTGCCGGCGATATGCAAGATTTAATTTGACTTGAACTGTTTTCGTGGTGTGCGACACATTGAAAACTTTAATTAAATTCATTGTTTGCTCTCAAGATTTTGACACATTTCAATTTTTTGTTGCTTTTAACTCCTTTTTGTATGGGTATTCAGGTCATAATTCTTCGCAGTATGTTTTCAAACGCAGATCGTGCGGGTTTCCCGGTATCCCTTAGTCGTGCACTCCCGACTAGGTCTTTCTTACTCGCTCTGATTTAAATCATTTCCATTGCTACGCATTTAGACTACTTCTATCTTACAAAGTTCAACTAGATTTAATTTATGAAGACTTTTCAATGGATTCCGAACCTGTGCACCATATTGCAACACTATGTGCAACATAGTGTAATTTTTGTTTCTGTTTCAATTTGCTGTTTAGTTAATGGCACATGGATTGTTTATATAATTCATTAAGCCTTCCTTTAAACTCAATTGACAATTACTTTTCAGTTGACTTTCATTTATTCGCTATAGAAACTGCTAATATAATTTAGAAAAGGCCAAAGAGTCCTCTTTATAGTCCTTAGTCGGTTTTAGTATAGAACCTTTCCTGCTTAAATATAACGCGTAATATGTAAAGAGAAAAACATTCCAATGAAACCCAGAAAACTCTGCAACTATTGACAAGTTCAAAGTTAAAGGAAGATTCACTCAAAGTTGTTCGTGAGAAATGTGTGTCAGATTCATTCAGATTCAAATCACCTAACATTTTTTTTTTTTTTTTTTTTTTTTTTTTTTTTGTTAATTGCTAAACAAATTTGTTAACAATAATATCACCTAACTTGAAATATCAAATCATTCTTGTACGGTGTTATAGATATACCTGCATATATTATATACACTGATGAGCAAAACTGTAACTTCACTTCAACTGTACACAAAGTCTATTAAGACTATTCAACATAAAATTCAGCCCAATTGCTCTGATGTAATCCTTAAAAAATGCATCAAAGCGGGTCATAAGAACAAATTTTGACAAATTTACGATTCAAACTAAATATTAGATCATATTAGCTCTCTCTACTGCGACTCATCAGATCAGACTTCTCAGCACAACCTGCTCACACAAAAAGCCAACAAATTTGGGCATTTCGCAGCGGCGCTGATACGATATCGGCTAATATATAAATGCGAAACGTTGGTATCTGCCGATATCGTTTCTGGCTTGATATGAGATCGATCCAAGCTTCCAAGAATGCATTAAGTTGGCACTATGCAGGGCTCTGTAGCAGCCATATCCAATGACAATAATGCGTCGGAGTGCTACACATATAAAGATCAACGTTTTATGCATCCTTAACTTACACTCTATTTTAATTGCCAAGGAATCCTCACAATCACAGTTGGTGCCTTCGGTCCAGCACGCCGACCGAGGGCCAAGCTTATGTGCAATTAAACCAGAGTTGCAAAAGGCAGGAGCAGGCGTCAGAGGGGCAAGGAGGCCAGAGGCAAGGGGCACGGGCAAAAGCAAATTTACGTCCGCTGTCAAAAGGCAGCGACGTAGCGTATTTAATATTTTTCAGCGTGTTTTACCATTTCATGTTGTGTCATCATCATCGTCAGCATCAGCAACGGGCGCAGTGCCCACTAGCCAGCTCCAGTTGGAGTTGCTGAAAAGAGAGAACAGAAGATACAGATACATTCGGTGTTCGGAGTGGTCAATCCTGTTCCTTGGGCTTCTGTGCGGGCACGGCAAAGGCAGAGAGAGAGGGATACAAATTTGTACGCTCAACTACAAACTAAAAAGTCTTAAAGTCTTAAAAGCATTTGCAGAAACGAAGGCAAAGAGTAAACACAATAAAGGCATAAAAATTGCGAGTGAGCAAACAAATAAAAGGAAACAAGGCAGAGGGACGGACGGCCGGACGGAGACAGACCCTGGCAGACAGGGTATACGCGGGGCATGTTGTTTTGTATCTGTGCTGCTCATTTGCACTTGGAATACAAAAGATACATTTTCGTAAGACCATTTTGACATGACAAGATAACGACAAGCAATCCGACCAAGCGACCGGACGACAGCTCGAGGGAGCAGCTCCGGCGGGGCAACGGCAGTTGCGCCTGCTCATTGGCTCCTTGCCGACCTTTTGCCTGAGTGTTTCGTATTTTAATTTTCATTACGGCCACACCGTCGCATTGGTAGGTTCTTGAGACGACGACGACGGCGACCGGCAGCGCATAAAGTCAGCGCAAGGCAGCGCAAATGTGAGTATTTCTCAGAAATTGCAAATTATTTTTGAGCTGAGCGCCTGCGCCTGCGAGTTGCCTCGAGATGCCTCGAGTTGCCTCGTCACAGGTACGAGTCGCACCTGGCGTCGCAGGCAGCAACAGCAACAGCAGCAGCAGCCACAGCCGCCAAAATGAGTTAGCATCCCAATCCCAATCCCAATGTACACATGTATGTGTGTGTGTGTGTGTGACTTTTGCTGAGTGCCGAGCGAAACAAATGCGCAGATACTTTTGCCTGCATTGACACTCCCGCGCCTCCCTTGATGTGCCCGTGCAGCTTGGGACGCGGCCATCAAGTGCTCCAGTCTGCCCCGCGCTTCCCTCCGCTGCCTCTCCCCTATAAAGTCGTGTTTATGCACTCTCATAAACATTTTTATTTTAATGATTTTTATTATTGCGCACATTCGTTACTTTTTATGCGGCCAAGGAGGAGAGGGTAGGAGAGAGATGATCAACTCACAGACTGGCATTGGCTGCCCTTAAGCTCAATCGTCTCCTGATCTTGACACTGAGTGCTCTGAAGCGACATCTGCATACGTTGCCCATCAGATACAGCAACAACTAAGAGCAGCTTAAATTCAATTTCAATGTACTTTTTGCAATTGCATGCCACACATCATATGTACAAGTTGTCGTTGTTGTGGTGGCTGCTGTGTGGCCAGTTGCTGTTGCAAGCGTCTCGCCTTTTTGGTCTCATAAAATTTAATTTACGTTCGATCGCTAAGTTTTCGCCCTGCAGTGGACAGCGCCGCCGTCGCGGATGACACATAAAATTCCACATTTACGACTCCTTAAGATTCAGCTCATGCATGGCGAAAATCTGTGCGACGTTCCAAAGAGTCAAAGCCGGCTTATCCATTTCGGTTTCATTAAAAAAAAAGCTGAAACCCATAAAAAGTAAATACAGTCTACCTCTCAGATAACTCGAAATGTACATACATTGTTTGAGCACAAGGATCTACGTCCATATAGATGATTTCTGTTTCGTTAATGCTAAAAAAGTTAGTTTATTAACAGAGAACGTCTTAAGCTAAATCTAACGAGAGGTCAAAGCGTATTTGTTGGCTCTATATAAATAAATGTCGTTTATGTGTTTGCTACCTAAGAGTAAAGTATTCTATGTTAGTCATTAGGAAATGCGACCACCGCCGAGACGCGCAACAGTGCGACGCAGCTTGAGTATCTCGGCTTGTAGCTGGTCAACGCTAGTGTCCACTTGCTTACTCTTTGCTGGAGCTGCGGTTGCCACGGGGGCACAAGCGGGCGAGGGCGTGGATGTAGGAGTGGCGTTCGTTGTAGCTGTCGCTGCAAAAGGCAAAGCGCCCTCCACACTGGCAATGGACAAGTTGGGATGTATTTGAGGAGTAGTCACGTGTACGCTGTTGGGCACGGTAGCTGTCACCCCAGTGGCTGTGGTAGCAGCTGGAGCAGTTGGCATTGTGGCTGCAGCTAGTTGTGCCAGCCCGCGATGTGTGGATAGTAATTTCTGTAGCTTTGCTGTGGCGCTCTCTCGCTGTGAATCGAGTAACATGCGCATTGCCTCCTGATCTTCTGACTTGGCTTTCTCCATGGAATCGGAGCCCTCGTCTATGAACACATAGTTAATGACATGCGCATGAGTGCCTTGTCTAATCCGGTAAATAGGTTGTCCATTGCCGGCACCGGTTACACTTGCCAGCGAGGGTACGTCGCCCAATTTGGCCATTTCCCCGCCCACTTGGAAAATCGATGTCTTGCCATTGACCACCAGTGGCTTGGGCATAATGTAAGGTGCAGTGACGAACTGCGAGCACTTGCGCTTGGTCACTTCCACATATTTGCTCACCCGGCAGCCGCTCGTACTGCAGGCTCGCAAAGGCGTTGCCATAGGCTCGCTTCCGACGCTAGCTGTAGCAGCTGCTGCTGCAGCTGCTGCAGTATTTGAGTTTGCCGTTTGCATCTGTAATTACTCTTAATATAATTTCAGATTATAAAAACAGCTTTACGTTGAATCTTACAATAGTTTATTTTGTTTTCGCTTTAGCTTGGTCTCGCACGACGAGTTTTCGATTTTTACACTAAAACTCTTTTGTATTATTCGGTCACACTGATTTGTGCGCTCAGAGAGAAAATATGTTGTGCTCACAAAAATTATTGCAAGAGAGCGAACCAGTTCATACCGAATTGACTCTTTCTGCTTTATTTTAGTTTATCAAAACAAATTGTTATTAACCAATTATTGTAAAGAATTCACAAGTAATTGCATTATAATATTAATAATATTAATAAATTTGAATATGTCAACTTTTCTCATATAAATAAGCATGAGATAATCAAAAGAACTTGCTCAAATCAAAGCGAACTATTTGACTCACACGCAGCGCGCATGACTTGTTATCGATTGTGACATCGGTCGATATCATGTTTGGCAGATGTTTTGGCGCGAAAAGACTATAATTGAAATAATATCAAATAACTTGCACACACATATTTACGACGGTATAAATACAGAAATATGTAATAAATATATAAATAAAGTGAAAAAAATAAATTTATAGTAAAAGACCAAAAAAAAGAATAATCGCTTATACATATATGTACATGTGCTTAGCGGCAGATTCTTTACTGCAAGATTTCAACTTTGGCCGTGGCGAGTTTATTGTGAAGTGCAATGACCCAAAAGGCCTCGAACTACAATGTTTTGAGCAGCCGTAGCGAAGTGCAGACGCGACAGACACCCGCTTCATTTACATTCCCGAGTACTTTACAAATGGGCTGGCAGTGCCAAAGTTGAGTCGTTAAAAGCACTGAAAGCGTTTATCATGAGGCGGTTCGAAGACCCATGCCCGGTCCTGATGCCAGCTTCTTTAATTTTCACGTCCATCTCACGGCAACAGTCGCTCAAAGCGCTCGACCGGACTTGCAGCCTCATTGTTGGCTCAAATGAAATAATTACTTTAGCACACGTTGACTGACTGACTGACTGCATGTTATATATACATATATATATATATATATATATATATATGTGTGTGTGTGTTCGTGTATGAGTATGCATCCTTAGTCATGACCAATATATCGACTCGCATTAACAACAACAATGCGAGCCACAACCGCAGTTGCAATAAAAATCTTCGGACATATCCACGTCGCGCCCAGTCCAACAATAATAAGAAATGAAATGCCATTTATTAAGCATTAATAAGTGCGAGCGTCCATGTCCATCCATCCATTTGCGCTGCACTTGGCTTGAACCGCAACCGGCTCTCGCCCTCCACCTGGCTTGGTTGCTCTGACTCAGGCTCTTGCTCTGACGTTGCCTGTAGCCGTTGCGCCTGCCTGGATCCACGAACTTGACTCGTGTTGGGTCAGCCTGTCTGTCGATTTATGTGTATGAATTTGAAATATTCGAACAATAAAATATCTTGAAAGTTCTCTGCAATTGGTGGGCATTACTTTAATATACTTTAAATGGCTTTCATTTGGGTATCAGTTGGTTGTCCGAATTTGTCTCCTTAATCGACGTATTTTATTAAGACTTATAATATATACTATTGGATTCCCACATGAAAAACATATTTCTTCTAGAAAAAGGCAGAAAAGAAACATTCCATATTTATCAGGAATGAGGTATACTTAGTAGCTCTAAAAACTCTGAGACTTATCCCAATGTGAGCGGCACATTTAATTAGTTTCAGTTTCATAAAAGCGAAGACTGCTTAAAATTCACACCGAGTATCTGGGAACAGCCCCCAAAAATTGTTGCTTTTAGTCTTTGAGTTGTTCCATCGACGGCAACATGAGAAAATTCCATTGCCATTGGCTCTTTATAACAAAAATGTGCAATTATGAAATATGATGCGATTTGCTCTTGAAATGCACAACACAGAATGCTCCAGCCAGAATGAGGCTACGAAAACGGAAATGTTTTAAAACCAGCAACAGAAAAGAGATAAAAGAGATCTATATAAAAAGCCAAAGGAAAGCTTAAACATATAACAATCGGCAAGGTCTGCCTTTAGAGATAATCTAGAGTTATACACGTATAAGAACTGTGGATGATTAAGATTACTTCTTGACTTGAGGCTGCTGCTACAGAGGCTGCTGAACACAGTAGTTGTTAGTAAACACACAACAATCGGGCGCTGGCTTCATCGCTTTTACTCTCTCTGCAAAAACTGCAACCACAAAATTCTCAAATGGTTATAGCTATGCAATAGTAACTAGCCGAAGATGGAGGAAGAGTGGATAGCAAAGTGTATGCTAGACCTTCTGATTAGTAATCATCAATTAATACACGACTTAAAGATATATGCTTATATTAAGGAGCTTATGTATTTTTACTATTAATATTTGGATGAGATCTACTGCAAAGCTTGGTGAAGCTGTGAAGTGTAGTTATGATATTATATTGTATTTCCTTATATATAATTTTGCCACACATTCGATTTGGAGCTTCATTTACAGGCGGAGGAAAAGGGCTAAATCAATTTGGTTATTGATGCCGGTCAAGAATATAGTAACTATTCAAAAACTATTTTCTACAAGTTCAGATTTGCTTTAAGTAAAATTTCGAAGTTTTTTTGGCCAAGCTAAATGAGTTTGATTCAATTTAGTTAGCTGAATTTTTACTTGTTAATATAAGAAATTGCAACTATTAACTAGAGCAGCAGCTTACAGAAAGAGTTGCAATAAGTTTTCGATAGATGCAGCTGCTAAGTGAGTGTGGCAGTGCAGCTAGTTGATGGCATCTAATGAGTCTACTGTCTGGAGGTTATTTGCGCCTGCGCTGCGAAACAAGTCGCGTTTAGTTGAGTTTTTCTCTTTTTTGGGTAAGCAGGTTTCGACTTGGAGCAGCAGCAGCAGCAGAACCAAAATGAAAAAGAAATTGGAATTCCTTGTCTGAGCAGACACCCAAACAAGCGAACTAAACCAACCAAAACAAGCAGCCGAAACACATGGCATTCAGTTCGAGCAGCAGCCAGAATAGCCACAAAAAGCAACAATAAACCCAAAAGGCCCTCGGGCGCTGTACTTGTGCTTGATCAAGTGAACAGCAGACGGCAGACGGCGGACAGTCGACATCCTCGTCTGGCCTCCACAGAAACAACAACACGTTGCGCATGCTTAGCTGTTAGATACGCGTAACAGATACAGATACAGCTACAGCTACAGATACAGATACATAAGCACGTGCAAAGCGTTAAAAAGGGAAACCAAAAAGACAGCGCAAAATATAAAAAGGAAGCCAAATGTTTTACTTGACCTTGACTGTGAAATGCTCATTGCAAAAGCCAAAAAAACAAAATAAATGTATATACACACACACACACACACTTATACACCTCAAAGTATCTGTATCTTTTGCCTCTGTAGCTCTGCTTGTTTTCGATTTGCGGCTTTATTAATAAAATAAAGGCGAATTGTTCATGAATACGATATAGCTATACATATATACATATATATTCTCATTCTGTAGATCTTTGCCAGACTCTTTAGTAATTAAAACTCAACGATTTCTTGTTACCTTTTCAGATGAGTGCAGCTCCACCCTGCACCTAGCTCAGTTCTTTTCCAAAATTCAGCTGAATGCAGTTGCCAGTCAAGCAATAATCCCATCCAATATAACCAATATGAGCACATAGAAGACCCCACACACACACATACACTCACACACTCACACACACACACACATACACTATATACATATATATATCTATATGTATATATATGTGTTGTAGACAATACGTGTACAACTGAGCACTGAGCAGCAGTTTTGTAACCCCAAGAGAATTGCGGAACCAACAGGTACGCCACAAGTCAAAATATATTCTTTAGCTATCAAATCAATATGATAAATATAAAATATGATAAACACTTATTTATATCAAATATCATGCTTGGAATATAATCTGCCATATCGAATCATATGCTCACATCTACATTTAGATAAATATTCACAATCTCCTTAATCGAAGACCTTAGAAAGAAAAGTTAAATATTTCAAATTATATTATATAAAATTATATCAAATCTTGGAGTCATTCGAATACGAGTTCGAAAAGCTACCGAGCTACAGCCCAAATAAATTCGTATTTCATTTGACAGCAGTTCAAACTCGAATTTCAAACTTCATTAGACTAAGTTAGAGTTATTCAAAAATTGTAATGTCGAAAACGATTGATTGGTAAAGGCCTCTGTTTGTCAATTCGAATTCGAAAAGCTGCTTCGAACCTAATGTGAACTAGTTACAGCTGTTGAGAGCTAGATTTAAGGTTCCGCAGTGGTTCATTTAGACCATATTTTATTTGATTCATTTACAATAATTCAAAGTTGATATTGAAAAGCTTTCTATTATAGCCTAAATTTAAAATTGATTCAAAAACAAAAAAATTGTGATAATTTATCAAAATTTAAGACTCGATCATTTTTATTTACTTTAAAGTCAATATTCGTTCGAGTTCATATACAAAAATGTGTATTTTTTAAAGATAAGTATAGAAAGAATAAAACTCAGAATCGATCCATTTAGATGATACGATTTGATTTGCAATTTGATAATTGTAACCCCTGGATGAAGATGAATCCTTTGTATCTTTTATTGAATACCCGAGCAAGCATTTGTCTTTCCTTAACTAAATTAAAAGCTTGACAAATGGAAAGTACGGCGTAAATATTTGCCCTTTACCAAAAGTCAACAGATGATGGAGTCTACAGTACGCAGGACTGCAGTTGAATGTGAACCGTGACGCTGTTTCCCATTTCGATTCTGATTGCGACTGAGGCAACGTAGGCGGCCGATGGAGCCTGTTGCAGCTGCCACTTGGCACACGACAAAAAGTCCTTTGGGCTTAAGTTACTGTTGCTGCTGCTGCTGCTGCTGTTGCTGTTCCTTTTCGGTTGTCTGTTGCTCTGCTTGTTAGCCGGAAAGGTGTTGCCTCAGACAATAAACTAATTAAATTTAATTTAAAACAGTTCGTGGCATTTCATCAGTCGAGCCAAAAATGTTTCATATTTAATTGGCCGGCTGCTGCTGCTGCTGTTGCAGTTGCTGTTGCTGCTGGTGGCAAGCGACGAGTGTCCTAAATTACCTCAGC